TCAGGTCTAAGTGGCTTCACTCTGCCCTGGTCAGCAGCCTTGTTCCCTGTTCCTATAATTATTAAACAACCAGTGGAGAAAATGATGAGTAAGAAGTTATGCTCACCTCAGTGAGCTTCTCTCCAGGACCTTGGCCCCTCATGTCTTTGTGGCCTTATGTAGCCTTTTACTTGCATGAGGAGTTCTTGGAAGTAGAGCAAAGGGATTGTAGACATGTCAAGATTAAATAATAACAGAGAAGATGTAGACAAAAGAGCAAGGGAAAATTGATGGATCATGTCACTGAAGAAGATGGCAAAGACTCATCTTAACTGCCCAGTTGTTAAGTGGGAGCTTAGACTTAAATTGAAAAGCATAAAAGATACTGAATTTATCATTGGAAGGAAAAAAGTAGATAACTATTGCTCCATAATTCCAGTGTAGGGAGAGAGGTTTTCTAGGTGAACTCTCCAGTGAATATCACTTAGTCTATGCCAAGATCCCGGGGAGTCTACAGTCTCCATCCCAGGGGAAGCAGAGCTAATGTACTGCTATAAATGCTTATTTATTGCTTAGGAAAGGGTGAGCCCAGAGAGATGTTAAATGATCTTTTTAAAGTTCAGCCTTTCAGAGACATTTGGAAAGAAAGGTAAGGCTGTGTTATACTGGTTAAGACTGTGGGAAATAGCATCGGAGATGGGAAATGAGTTCATGCTAATACAGAGATTGGGAGGGAAAACAAGTGTATGATACAGAGTGTTGGAAAAAAGATGAAGAAAGGCAAGCTTTTGGAATTGTACATTTTATACTCTTAAGCTCTCATGGCTACACATGTCCCACATGTACATATATCTTTGCATCCATAGTCTTACATATGCAACTACAGGTGAGATATAGACAGAAACTGTATCAGCTCAGCTACTTTTTCTCATCTTACATGCAAGAGTACTTCAAAAAGTTTGCAAAAAAATAGAATTAAAAGGTAATATGAATTTTTTCGTGAACTTTTTGAAGACCCTCCTCATATCAGGGGCCAAATGTCAATATCAAGATGTCAAAGACTATGTTTTCCTTAGTAAATTAGATCAACA